ATATAGTATATCAAACTTTACTCTTAAAATTATTGACACAAACATACTTCACAGGAACTTGACAGCATCACCTGTGTCATATAGTATATCAAACTTTACTCTTAAAATTACTGACATAAGCATACTTTACAGGAACTTGACAGCATCACCTGTGTCATATAGTATATCAAACTTTACTCTTAAAATTACTGACACAAACATACTTTACAGGAGTTGTACAACTTTATGCTTAATAGCTCTACCAGAACAAACATGAAAGGGGAGCATGCAAAACAATAAAGTGTTGAACTAAGCATTTAAACCTAAGAAGTAGAGAATATTCTTTTAATTTTTATGTTTTTATTGAAATGTACAAAGATTGTTTCCACTTGGTATTATTTTTTGTATTTTTTAAGTTCTTGAACTGATATAAACTCTTCAGTTTCATTATTTTATTTTTGAAAGTAATTAATTTTCTATTAGTTTATGTACAAAAAAGTAATTGCATATACTATAGTTTCCAGTTTGTTTCATTAGTGTACCATATTTTTTTTAAGCAGATAAGATTTAGGTATCACCAATTATTCTCCTGAAAAAAGAATTTGAATGCACTTGAGTTTTGGGTCTCATTTCAAAACCATTACAACAGATATATATATATATATATATGTATTAGGTAATTTTTGTAAGTTATCAAATGCCATAAAATAAATGTGTAATGAATGTAGTTGATGTTACAGACTGAACTATTAGTCATTGTTTATAATACCCAGGTGATGAATATTGCTCCTGTGTTAAAAGATACAACCAACTAAGAAGAGAGTTTGAGAAAAAGATGGCCCTTGCTTGCCAGGTAGCCATTTCCTTTATATTTGGTTATGGAATATTCACTATAAAAATAGATGAATTCATACAATAATAATTTCTTTTTAATTAATACTTCTATCATGTAGTTCTTTTTTTAGTAAAAACAGTCTATAATTTGTTCACATTGGTATGAAAACTAAACCATAAAACAATACATTTTATTTTTTATGAGAAAACATTCTAAGTTTTGTAATATTGTTAAAATTTTGCATTTATCTATTGTGCTGGCCTCCCATGGGAAACCTTTAAAAACCTATAAATGTTTTAAAAGTATATAAATTTGAAAGTAAATCTATTTTTTCTAACAAAACTCACTGCCACAAAATACTGTAGTTGTGGTATTACCATAATAATTGAATACAGTTCTTTGAATTAGAATGATTTTACAGAATTTTTATTTGGAGGAATAATTCAGACTTCATTATCAGCATTATTAGAACTTACTTGGTAAAATCATAACATACAATGTGGTGGATTTTTTCATGGAAACTGTACAGGTGGATATAAAAAATCACATTTATTATTAGTCAAATATAAATTATTTATAGATATACTTAAATCTGTATTTTGGTTTAAAAAAAAAAGGAAACTTAAAAGATTATTTTTGCTATGGCTCACTGGGAGACCTGATTTTTTCATGATGTTGTATTCATCTTATCATGTTATACTTTAAATTTTAATTTTTTTACTGACAAAAAAGATACACTGAAAAGGTTCTAATGAAATGAGTACTTGTCTCAAAGTAGTGTGTTCCATTAGAATTATTCTAATTTATTTTAAACATGTTTTTCTTAGACTTTCCAGCAAATAGAGGAAGAACATTTACAACAGATGAAAAAATTCCTTATAAAATACAGTCAGGTGCTTGAAAATTGTTACATACTTATAGGCCAGGTGAGAATAACTATTTCATAATCTCACATGTTTTTGCATTGTGTTCCATAATATTGTTTAATACTACAAATATTATCTTCTTCTTGCCAAATATACATTTTAATAGAAAAATAAATGTAATGTATACTGTTTTGAATGACATGAGTAATTGGCAGATTTCAATTCAACTTAAATAAACATTTTAAAACTCCCTCCTATGTTTATGAACCTATGCTTAATCTTAAACCATCCAATGTCTTCTCTAAAGTCCAGATTCTTAACAAAAAAGGTAATAGATGAAAATCAAAGCCTTTTGATCAATGGAGTGCATTTATTTATTTGAATTTCTTTACTCTCTTATTTTGAGTTTGTTTGAATATGTTACATTTTATTGTTGTTATTATGAATTAAAAATGATAATGTTTTTTATTATGTTGTTTGAATTTGAGATGTATTTTTCTGCACACATTCCTTTAACCTGCTTGAAATCAAAGACAGTGAAATCATATTCACCACAGTTCACCTGTTGATGCCATGTTAATCTCATGAAATGTTTTATAGTTTTAAGAATTTTTCACTTTGTTGTTCATAAACAAAAATTGTTAGTTTTTGTATGTATTTTTTGTCTGATTTCAAAAGTAGTTGAAATTGTTTCAGATGTTTAACCAAAATTACTATTTAGTTGTAAGTTCATATATTTTCCTGAGTGGTTGAAAGATGCTGAACTGTTATTCACTTTTATATCAAATTAATCTTGTTAGAATTTTCTTTACCTTAGTTTCAGTGTAATGTAATATAAAGTATCTCACACTGATTTTTTTTCTTCAGTGACTTTCTATGTCATCAACAATAAAAGAGCAAGGTGATAGTTATTTTTATTTTCTGCTTCAGATTAATCTGGTCTTGTTAGAATGTTCGTGAGCATGAGGGCTTATAATGCTAAAATTCAGGTTTTGATACCTATAGTTTGCAGAGAACACATAGCCCACCGTGTAGCTTTGCACTTAACAAGAAACAAATGTTCATGAACTCAGTGTAGATGAACTGATCAGTTGGACTAATTGATCTTGATGGTTAGGATCAGTGTTATTTCTTAAAAGATAATTTTATGGTCACAATTTATAGAATAAGCTAGAAGCTATAATGAATATATTCATTCTGATACGGTACTTCCCTCTTCTCACACGATTAACTATTCTTGTTCATTGCTGCTCTCTATATGCGAACTTTTTTATTATGCATGCAACAAGTCTTCCACACACCCCTTATTCATCAGGCATAACTTTTCCATCAATAGGAGAATAGTACACTCACGTGATGTATGTGACTCCATCTGTGTGCCTCTTCTGAACTGTCACTTGGACATCTTTCTTTTTTCATCTTGATTAGTGTTTGAAATTGAAGTAGTTTTTGAAGTGGTTTAATTTCACATACTCTGTTTATTTTTAAAGCATTCAGGTTCAGTTACTCTTGTTTTACTCACATTCATTTCCTCCTTTAAATGCTTGGTCGAATGATACATTACATTCGACAGAAGCTTTACCACAGGCTACAGATACTGGTGACCCATCGGGAGATTTGTCTACATTTATTTGTAGAGAGGTTAAATGTTATGTGGGTTAACCTTTATATCCAGACATGCCCCACTGGGCAGGCTGACAAGGACTTTTAACCAACTGTTTCCACTCCTGAATTTGCTGTGCCTTCCCGTACCCTTCCTGAGAATTCTGTTTGGCCATCCACGTTTTTTTCAGACTTTACTTCATACGTATGTTTTATACCTTGCTTCTATATCTTATGACCTGCATGAATATACTTCCCAACCCTTTGGTTTTTTTCCCCATCATTCTGGTTCATGCTGAACAATTTGCCTCTCAGTTGGGCAGTGATGTTAGTATTCCTCTTCACCCACAGGCTTCAGATCAGTCTGCCCTTGCATATCATAGGGCTAACTGTCCATATCTCAACCAACTACTGTTGGGTATGGTTTTACCCATCTGAGGGGTGGGCTCCAAATCTCCAGTTAGTCTCACCAATGTCCAATTTTCCTGCCTCCATCTTACCCTCATGACTCTTTTGCAGTACCTTTCCACAATCCATCTCCTATCTGAGGCTCTTCACAGAAATCTTGAGGGTATTTTCTGGGGACATCCTCTCCCTCCTTACCTCCATGTTTACTTGCTTGTCACT